ATGTGCATGCAGTATGGGTTGTTTGGCCAACATACAAACGCCCAGAGGGTATATGCAGAACAGCATAAATGACTCCAGCAACAGAAAGTGGATCAGTACCTGGCTGGAGCAGCTGTTGGTCAATACCTCTCAGCTGTAATTCAAAGCGCTCAGTTGCGGTGGCAGTATCTAGCTACCGCAGTTGCTTTTTATGCCACACTCCCACAGAATACAAATCAGTATCCAGCGAAAACGGGAACCCAGCCAAAAAAAAAAAAAGAAAAAAAAAAGGGCAAGCCAGTCAACACGTTGCCAGTTAGAGAAGGGGAGATAACGACCTCGTGATCGAAGAAAAGGAAGCGGTGCTGTGCGTGTTGCGCCGCCAACAGGAAGAATCCCGAATGAACTGACACCCCCTGATTTACCTGTAGCGGTAACGACATGTTTTTGTCAAAAAGGATTATGAAAGTTTTTTTTTTTTTTTTTTGAGAGAGTTATTAATTATTTTATTTTTTATTTAAATTTTGCATGGTACAACGAGTGGCCAGGAAAGCAGGACTTTAGGCATGATGGCTCAGGCCGGGAAAACTGCCATCGTCCTTTCTGCATCCACGAAAAGGTGAGTGGGCATGGGGGAAGCACCCCGGGTTTGGCAGACTTTAGGCTGGCCGTAACTATACCCACTACATGGGAAGGGGCGACAACCCATGTCCTTGCGGTGACTGCCATCACAACAATCCTGGACACTAAAGGGAAGGAGAAGAATGTCACAGCACCATGTCCCTTGCCAGATCACGTCCTAACAAGCGATAACAGAAAAGAGGGCAATGACGCGAACACAACATCCAAATATAATCAAGAGTAAAAGAAACGGAACCACAACAGAGGGCTCGCAACATATACAGATGCCATTCACATCGGGAAGAAACGGCCGGCAAAATTGGAAGAGAAATAAGACAAAGAATAAAAGATATATATCGTCAAAGAGAGCAGAGCTGCCCGGTAAACCGTAGGCAGAGAGGGAGAAGAGGAAAAGGACAACAAACGACGGGCTGTAGATTGTCACAAAGTCATCAGAGCGCAAAAGCGAAAAAGAAAACAGAAAGAAACAAGGAAAAAATGAATTCGTGTTTTCATCTTCTTCCTTAAAAACTCCCCCTGTTCAGAATTATAGTTTTTTTTTTTTGGGGGGGGGGAAAGCTTCAAATGTAGAATTATAGTTTTGTTTTTAGACAGCAGCCACATATTTTACCTTACCCAGAAGCTAGAAGCCAGAAAATGATTTTGTCTTATCTAGACACTACAAGAAGCCAGAGATGGAAAAAAAAAAAAAAATCAAACAAGAAGAAAAAAGGAGCCAGAGATGAAAAAAAAAAAAAAAAAAAAAAAAAAAAAAAAAAAAAAAAA